TACCTAAACCTAGACATTTTGAGGACTATTTGACTTACCTGTGTTTGGATGATGCAGATCCAGTTACCGTGGAAGAAGCTCTATCGAGAGTTGACAAAGAAAAGTGGGTAGCTGCAATGCAGGATGAGCTGCAATCGTTCAAGGACAACGCTGCATGGGAACTAGCAGATGTTCCAGAAACGGGAACAGTGGTTCAAAACAAGTGGGTATTCAAAAGAAAATTGGATACTGAAGGTAAGGTTAAATATCGAGCGCGACTTGTCGCAAAGGGCTATACTCAAAAAGAAGGTGTGGACTATAACGAGACTTTTTCTCCTGTTGTGAGACATTCTAGTTTAAGGCTTTTATTTAGTTTGGCAGTAAAATTAGGGTTGAATGTTTTTCATTTAGATGTAGCAACAGCTTTTCTCAATGGTGATCTGAAAGAGACTGTTTTCATGAAAATTCCTGAAGGATTAGAAATAGCTAATAGTCAAAATAGGGTCTTAAAACTTTTGAAGGCTATTTATGGCCTGAAGCAGTCTTCCAGATCATGGAATGAAAAAGTTGATAATTTGTTTATGAATTTGGGTTATAGGAGGTCTCAATATGAACCTTGCCTATACACAAAAATGAAAAATGGTATAAAAACTATTATTTGTGTTTATGTTGACGATTTTTATGTTTTCACCAATGATAAAGATGAATTTTCTAATTTAAAACTTAATTTGAGCAAAGCATTCAAAATCAAAGACTTGGGTGAAGTCAAAAACTGTTTAGGTATGAATGTAATTATAGATAGGAAAAATGAGTTTATTACTTTAGATCAGAGACACTTTATTGATCAGTTACTTAGGCGTTTTAACATGGAGAATTGTAAAGAAGTAAGCACTCCTATGGAGGCTGGCTTAAGTTTAGATAGGAAGGTTAGTGATTGTAAAGCTCCTGTTCCTTATCAACAATTAATCGGAAGTCTTATGTACTTATCAGTTTTAACAAGGCCTGATATATCTTTTTCAATTAGTTATTTAAGTCAATTTAATAATTGTTTTACTGAAACTCATTGGCAACATGCAAAACGTATTTTGAGGTACTTAAAAGGTACGCGAAATTTTGGGTTAAAGTTTATAAAAAATGATAACTTTCTTGAATGTTATGTTGATGCCGATTGGGGCAGTAACACATATGACCGAAAATCTTATACAGGTTTTTGTTTTCGATTTTCAGATGCACCGATTTCGTGGGAAAGTCGAAAGCAAAGAACTGTTGCTCTCTCGAGCACTGAGGCTGAATATATGGCAGTCTCAGATGCAGCCAAAGAGGCTATATATTTGCAAAATTTATTATCCGAAATGTTAGGTAGTAAAGAAATTGTAAATGTTTATAATGATAACCTTGGCGCGCAAAAATTATGCAATAATCCTGTTTTCCACAAGCGCACCAAACATATAGATATCAGGTATCATTTTGTAAAAGACATTGTCAACAAAAAACTAATGTATTAAAATATTTAGAAACTGCTAAGATGCCAGCAGATGTTCTAACAAAAAGCTTGAGTGCTATCAAGCATTTGAAATTTATAAAGGAACTTGGAGTAGTTAACTTAGAATAAATGTGATTTTTTATATTTTTTGATCTAGTGGGAGTGTTGTAAAGATCTCAAAAAATGTATTTGAATACCAGTAACGCCCTCTATGTTTTTACGTTCTTACTAGATACAAACTGCTTTACCTACTGTATATTTAATTCATGTAAGTGACACTGAATATAATTTAAAAGGGTTGACTCGTGTTTTAATCTTGCTCCATAATTATCTGCGATAATCTGCTTTATTTTAACAATAATGACATTATAACAATCAAAATCGAGTCCTCCGGGCGAAGAGATTTTACTATTTTTCCGTCAGGTGGCACAACGAAAAGTCATCTGTCAAACTGTCCACTTTACGGACATAGTTGCTGAACTACACATTGAGCTTATACGCTGCCGAATAGTTTATTGTCAAATTCTGTACCTTATAACAATGAACGTTAAAATGATGTATGTGAAAACTCATGCTGGGACCCATGAAGAAAATCGCGAGTTTAAATGTTATGTTTCAAGAAGAAGGCGGATATACGAAAAATTACTGGAACTCTTCAGAGCGCGGTTCAGGACATTTTTCCTTTGAATCCTGAAGACAACCGTCTTCCACGACTCATATGCTGTGCTTGCAAAATATATATTTACCGAAAAAAAGGATTCGTCTGCTGTTCAGATACTCAATTTCTACATTTCCTTCTTTACCAAAACATACAAGGAAACAATGTAAAATAAAATGTCAGTGCAAATTATGTTCATACGAACACTGGGACATTTTATACAGAAAAATATCAGTATCAAGAAAAAATTTGCCAAGCAATGTGCAAGGTGTAGAAAATCTTTGCAAAACGGACTAGCACATTTTTGGTATAAAACGCACACTTATGCAAATCTAGTCGAGTCATTTCAATCAGAATTGCCTCCAAAAGTACAGGAACATTTATTAACTGATCTGATTAAAAATATAAGCAATATCAATATTCAAGAACTCGGTGCTGAAATGCACTTATCTCGACGCCATGGTAAACCTCCGAAATAGTAATACAAAAAAAACGAGATAAACAAATTCGTGCAAAAGAGGTTTTAAAGATTGGAACAGATTTTGGACATTCAACAAATACTGTGGTGGGTGTAGCTGCGGTTCTTCGTACTTCGGACCGAGAAGAAGAATAAGGAGACCATCGCTACGGAAAGTTTATTGCAGAAACATTGATGGAAACTCATTAAAAATAAAAGAGATACACCTTGCACATTGCTTGGCAACTTTTTTCTTGACACTGATATTTTTCTGTATAAAATTCTGATGTCCCAGTGTTTGTACGAACTTGCATAATTTGCACTTGTTTGTTTTGGTAAAGAAGGAAATGTAGAATAATCGGGTGTCTGAACAGCAGACAAATTCTGATCCTTTTTTTTTCGGTAACTAAGTATTTTGCAAGCATTACATATATGTCGTAAAAGACGGTTGTCTTCAGGATTAAAAGGAAACATGTCTTGAACCAAGCTCTGAAGAGCTCCAGTAATTTTTCGCATATCCGCCTTCTTTTTAAAACATAACAAGCAAACTTTTTCGATTTTTTTAATGGGTCCAAGCTTGAGTTTTCACATACATTATTTAAATGTTCATTATTATAAGGTTCAGAATTAGACAATAAACTATTCTGCAGCGTAAAGCTCAATGTGTAGTCCAACAACTATGTCCGTAAAGTAAACAGTTTGACAGATGACCTTTTGTTGTGGCGCCACCTCACGGGAAAATAGTAAAATCTCTTCGCGCGAAGGACTCGATTTTGATTGTTATAATGTCATAATGACTCTTATTTAGTAAACCTGATTGATTTGCAAGTAAAATTATTCATTTTTGTAATTTTTTGCTCTAAATTTCGATTTCGAAACGGCTCGGGCAATTTTGCTATAAACGGGTGTTTGAGCTTATTTTAATATATATTTTCGAAATCTGCCATAAAAAACGTGGTGCTAATCCGGTCAATATAGACTGGATTTAGACCTACCGTGACCGAATTGATTATAATCATTTATAATTATAAATGTTTTTAAAATTCCAAATCGATATATTTTTCCGTTCCGCAAAAACTTCCAATGGACCACAAATGTATTGTGGTTGTGATACTATTATAGATTCTAAAGCAATGTATAATCGTCAAAATAAAAGACCAAAATTTGTTTCCAACATATATTGAATTATTCAATTTGAATATAAAATAAATACAAATTTTATTAAAAAATATCAAAAATTAAAAAGAGAAATTAAAAAATTAAAATTAGTTTTTTCTTTATGTATAATTTTTTTATCATGTAAAAACATACAATATTTAAAGAAAAAGAATGAAATAATAAGAATGGCTATATTTAAATGACATGATTTCGTGAAACGGTGAGACACAGGTAAGTTTTTTAACTTTTATTTTTAAAATCTGTTAAAATTTTTCATGGAAAGGAAATCTTGTTGAACTGTGTTATTAATCTTTGTATTATACATAATAACACAATACAAAAACTATACGAATTACACTGGGCGTCATTTTTAAAACATGGCGTTAACCAAATAATAATTATTATTAAAACATTTGGCACTTTAATGGTTTGTTAGCTCCATTAACTTGATGGTGGACATTGCCATACATGGGTCTGTAATGGTAAAATATGAAAAGATTAGCCTCAAAGGGGCCATTGCAAGAACTTATCACGACAGCCTTTTATCAAAATTAATATTTTTATTAAAACACACAGGTAGCACAACGTAACAAATTCGTGACGATTTGTGTCCAATTGGACACAAATCGTCACGGTTTTGTCACGTTGTGCTATAGCAGGTATACCTGGGCATTCCTTTAAGCCATGAAACTAGGTAATGGGCCATTACATAAGACTAATGCCTTTGCTAGAAACAAAGCAATTTTTTTTGAATTCTACAAGTGCATTTTAAAATTAAGCCAACAGTTATTAATCAAATACTATTTTTTTTTTTTTTTTAACACCCAACTTAAAATCTTCTTAAATATTTTAATTGAAACCACTAAATATATAATAAAAATAACTAATATATTGTTTTTTATTTATTCCACGGTATTAACTCATTTTTGTCCCTTAAGTCGCAATAATAGATTAATAATTAATTATAATTAAAGTTATTTGATACTTAATACTATTTTTAGGAGAATTATTATTATTAAAAATAATATTATTTACAGGCTTTAAAACGCAAAGATGACGACAACGATATTATGATCGCATCAACACCACCAGATTCTTTAGATGACCATAGCTCTATCAGTCAAGGTAAGCTCGTAGGCATTTCGCTTTTCTTAGTTGTTTTATAATTAAAACGACTAGCGGTATCATTTTAATACTGCATTAAAAACGACATATATAACGAATTTCTAGTAATAATGCGTTTCGTCATTTTACTGATAACGTTATGTTATCTTTTTATTACGCGGTAAAATTGGGGAAAAATCTACTTCAAACAATAGTTTACAATTGTTTGTTAAAATGAGCACACTTTCAAAAATTCGGATAAAATCGCAAAGTGGAAAGCTGGATATTACTTCTAACGCGCTGCCTCGTAAAATTAATGGCACCACTATCAATTTTACCACCAGAAAACCTGTATTTAAATCACAATATGTACAAGCTGTTATACTTGGCAGAAAAGGTTAGTTTAATATAATAGATAAAAATAACCTTACGATAAATAATTTGTGTATTGTTTACTTTGAAATAGGTACACTGCATTAATTAATGGATTTTAAAATTTGGTCATTTATGTAGAGATGTATGAATATTTAATAACCCGCAAACAATAGCCTTTATTCATAATGATTGGAAGAGAAGAGAAACCAAAGTCAATGTATTAATAATAATAAATATTAAACATTTTACAATAATAGTGTTTCTTACTTTATAATTACTACAATATAATATTTTTGTAACCTTTTTTAACATATTACTTTAAAAAACTAAGTAGCATATCGGACAAATAACCTTACATACACATACACATTTGTTTTTTGGAGGTTTTTTAGGATAGAACCATTAAATTTCTTAAACAAACTAATGTAGTCTGCGATACTTTGCATACGTTCACATTTGCACATCTTTTTTGCGCGTTACTGTATTTACGTTTTTAATAAAAATATTACTTTTTTAATCTTCATTACGCAACAAAAGTTACACCTTGTAAATGTTGATTCATGTTTTTAAGATATGTGTGTTTTATTGTGATTAATATGTATTAATAAATATTTTTTTAAAATACTTAAAATCACAAACGAGGATAAAGTTGGACAGAAACTAAATTTGTAGCTAGAAGCTACAAATTTAGTTTCTACTAGCTTCTCTTATTGTATTTTTTAATCGTAAATTACATTAAAAAAATTACATTTTTAAATCACAATTAAATGGGTGCACTCAACAATTTAAACGCGAATATCTCGGTTTCTCGCAGCGAAATTAAGACATTATACCTTTTTTACCTAATAAATGTGTAAAAATAAATATTTTTATTAAAAACGAGAATACAGTAAGGCGCAAAAAAGATGTGACCATTTAAACGTATGCAAAATCTCGCAAGCAGTGTCCCCTACAACCTACATTTTTTTAAGAAATTTAATTTGCCCGTCCCAAAAAAGAACAAATATCAAATTTTGTTCAAAAACCTTTGTTTTTCCAAATTTATTTGATAAAATCAAAATAAACCTAACTTTAACAACTTGTATCTTTGCTATTATCAACTTTTGGATATGGCTAATTTGAATAAATCGGATTGTTTCGACTTAAATAGTCTGCTGTTGCTCTGTGTCCCATTACTTTTGGACTACCCTGTATATTATCAATAATATAGCCACACAAAAAAGCATATGTGCCAGAGAGTTGACCAACACTTTTTTATATTTTCTGGGTCGCTGAAACCGAATCTGACCTCAGAACTGCTCTTTTAGGTCACACTTTTCTAACGGTGCACCGCGGTGTGTTCCTTAAATCCAAATGTTTTAAAATGTGAGTGACTCCCTTCCAAAAAAAGCTTAAAAATTAAAAAGCCTGATGATTGTCAGCCTTTTACCCTATACCTAGGAATATTGCCCACTTTTTTTCAATCCTAAAAACTACCCCCTTTAAAGGCGTTGAATACTCATAAATTCATTTATCTCAATCTTAGGATAGGGGGTTGAACACTATATTATTTATCCTCTTTGTGCCCGTGTAAACAGCCTTGTCGTAGGGGTCATGTGTATATGTTGTGAATTGTTTACTAAGTATCTATACAACCCCTTTTGGCAATAAATATTCGGAAAATCGATTTCTTCGTTATTTTAAACATTGTAAAAAACATTTTTGCATTTGTATTTTTTTCGCCGTCTACTTTGTAATTACAAAACTTTTTATCCCCAAAAACCACCCCCAAAAGGCAAGGGTTAAATGCAACATTTTGTATCCCCTTTGCGCTCCCGAAAACAGCTTGGTCATAAGGGTTCAAGGTTTAAAAAAAATGTGAAATCTTACTGTGAAAAAAAATTGATGATGCTTATGTTCAGTGCGCAAATGAGATTATCAAATTTACATTCAAACCTTGCCTTTCTGAAGTGGTTTTTGGGGATTAATAAGTTTGAACAGTTCTGTACTGACACTGTAGAAGGCAAGAAAAATGCAAACATGTTTTTTATAATTTTTAAAATAATGGAGAAAGGATTTTCTAAACATTCATCCCCAAAAATGGGTAGTTTTTAATAAGGGTCTGGAAAATTGTCTATATACTCCACTCACAACCAAATTTGTTGATTTTTAATTCATTTGGTGATTAAGTAAAAACTCTTTTAAAAGCCTTATTTCTGGTGATTTTGTAAATCCTGACATTTGTAAATTTAAATTTTCCTAAAAACTCAAAAATTTTACCGTAAAAATAAATACTAATCTGAATATAGAATTTCAATCTCTAAATCTAAAAATGCGTAATCTCTTCGAATGTTGCTTTTTTGAAACCAGACTATTTAAATAAATACATATTTAGAAAATATTCAGTACCGTATTCCGCAAAATTTTTATTGGGGTCCTAAAGTAGCTACAGAATTAACTAAGCACCGCTTAGCAGAAATTGTACAAAATAATTTTAAAACAATATGTCTGGATTTTTATATTAGGCAGGTAATTAGATACACAAATGGTTTGCTTTTAATTCATGTAAAACGTTCTTAAATTACTATTAGGTACTCAAAATATTCAAAATACTAAAAGTATCTAGGCTTAATGTTTTAAAATCTGTGTAAAGATTGATGTCTTAGATAGTTTAGGAAACTAAAATATTAAAACTAAATTTTGAAAAAAAGAGTGTAATGCCAAAACAGGTTACGAAGGTCTTTTCTATCCAGAGCTTTAAATAAAATAAATAAAACAAAAATGCAAAATAGATTAGACTCCAAAACATAAAGTGGAATTTTACATACTAAAAGATTAATTTTAAACTCCTGTTTTAACTTTCCTGTTACTACAGATTATATTAAATCTCACAAATAATTTGCATATTTAAATATAATAAAACTTTAAAGCACATTTTATTACGGACTTTGCATATTTAAATATAATAAAACTTTAAAGCACATTTTATTACGGACTTGTTCTCAAAAAAACAAAATTTATTGGCACATACTATAATAATTATAATAAATAAATTAAAATGTGCTTTAAAGTTTTATTATATTTAAATATGCAAGAAATACAAAATCTGGTGATTGTTAAATCTGGCAACATTATGTGTTCATAAATTGTATTGTATACAGTCAACATAATTTAAAAATGATTTGAATAAAAATTAAATTTTTGACAATTTTAAATTTAATTTTTTTAGAGTCCGGTGTCACTTTTATAAATGAACATCATAAATGACCATAAACCGTCACACGTACACCGTACAAGAATTTTATCATAAATAATACATTGAGTCACCATTTTGACAGTGCAAAAATTATTTAGAAAAATAAGAAATAATTTGAGTGAATTAAACTTAATTAAACTAAAAGGGATTTTCAACTTATTTATTGTATGTATCTACAGTCACATAATATAAAGGAGTTATAACAGTAATTCTAAAACTTCATCACTAAATGGAAGTATTTTTTTCTTAAATTGAAGTCTTAAGTTTGTGATAAATGGGTCCAAACTAACCAAAATGCCGTGAAAAACGCCTTCATTTGTAGCTAAGCGAGAACATTTTCGAGCGTGATGCGTTCTGAAGAATTTATAATATTTGTTTCTGCATTCTTGAGCTTGCTCTGATAGTAAACCTATGGGAAGAGCTGCGAATTCAATAATATCTTCTCCATAGAAAATAATTTTGTGGACTGATGCAGGAAGGTTATACCACGGGTTGGGCACTAGCAATCTCGGAGCAATACTTCTTGAACTTGATGGTATCGATTGGTGAAAAGCTGCAAATTACCTCTAGAATAACTCCCAGTTTACTCATCAATTTGAGTAATCTAGCCACTAGCGAAGGATTTGAAACGAATCTTCTAGAGGTATTCCCATCATTTGTCGTTCTTGAGCCGTGTTTTACTACATCAACGCGTAGACATTTTCTTCCAAAACTCGTCTTGAACGAGTTTTTTCTTTTACTTTTTCAAATGAATTGTTTCCGGTGTTGTTCTCCAAGCCTTGAAGTCTAGATTGTAGCTGAGATGCAAAATGAATTCCATGATAAATCATTATTTAATATTCCTGGTTACACACTACTTTATAACGAAGGCCAATACAATCAAAACGACGGTGTTATAATTTATATAAAAAATAGTTTAAACTTTACATATTCTATTCAGTGGCGGCTGGTGGATTTTAAGTATACCAATATCTCAGTTATTAGACATGGGACCCACACCAAATTTATAATAGTTTATATTGACATTAAATAAACAAGTTCGGCACAAACAGAATTTAAATTGAAGTTTGCGAAAAAAAGTTAGTTTTTCCTGTCGCCTACCCTGCCTCCAGGCCCCCCTATTTGAGATAATTCAAATTAAAGTGGTGCAATTTATTATCTACTATAATTTATCGACAAATTTAAAATTTTATTTAAAAAATCCAAATATTACAGTTTTTATACCATTTTAAATATTTTTTTATTTTAATAAAATAAATAATAAAAATTTTAAATCGAATAAAATCTGTAATATTTGGATTTTTTGAATAAAATTTTAAATTTGTCGATAAATTATAGTAGATAATAAATTGCACCACTTTAATTTGAATTATCTCAAATAGGGGGGCCTGGAGGCAGGGTAGGCGACAGGAAAAACTAACTTTTTTTCGCAAACTTCAATTTAAATTCTGTTTGCGCCGAACTTGTTTATTTAATGTCATTATAAACTATTATAAATTTGGTGTGGGTCCCATGTCTAATAAGTGAGATATTGGTATACTTAAAATCCACCAGCCGCCACTGATTCTATTATTCAGTTTAATTTGTCTAATTTACTACAGGTAAATATATTTATCCAAAACAAAATTATAAAAATATCAAGTATTTATAGATCTCCTTTTACAGACGTTAAACACTTCAATGAAGAACTGCAATCATATTTAGAAAATTATACAAAACACTCAGACGACACATTTTCGCTGGCGATATCAATATAGATTTGCTTAAAAATAATAACGAGACCTCTA